TTTGCCTTACAGTGAGGGCTTGGCAGGATCTCCTATGACAGATTCTAGAGAAAGAAAAAATGCTGACAACTTAGAAATGTTAAAAGTATCCAAGAGCTTTCTTGGTTCATTCTGACCAATACCATCGCAAGTTGGTTCTAGCTGGTGGCAATGTCCTCTAATAAATTAAAGGTTGTTGTTGTTATGTGCCGTTGAGTCGGACCCGACTCATAGCAACACCTCCTTGGGTTTCTGAGGTGGTATCACTACGGAAGTAGATTGCCCTACCTTCCTTCCGAGGAGTGGTTGGTGAGTATAAAGACTTTTTCCATAGGAACATGGAGTGGGGAGATTAACTGAACAATCACAGCTATATGTAATATCCTTTGAACACAGTGATCTGCCAAATAAAATCCAGAGAAGAAAATGTGACCACAAAAAAATCAACTTGTCCCATTATAGCATAGGACAAAGGACAGCAAGAAGGTCTTTAAACATCACTCCAAGAATATTTTAAGCTACCTAATATACAACAAGCATGCACAAGGGGAAAAAAAAAGACATATGCTTAGAACAATTTTAAGAACCAAGATCTATCTTTAGCAATAAAAATACTAAAATAGTATCTGCTTTCAATTTATTTGCACAGGAAGGTTTAAAAAGAAACTCTTGAGAAATGAAAGATCATCAGATCACTAATAACTGCAGTTTCCTGAACAATTAAGAGAATTCACAAGACGATAACCTATTCAGGAAATGACAAATATTTCTACTTTTATCGGAAAGACTGAAAGGGCATTTTCATCTATAGCATCTATTCCATATAAAAATAAGTGTAAGCAATGAAGCAATTTTTATTTATTTATTTTCATTTATTTCAGAAGTACTCTGTGTGGCAATAGTCAGAATACAAGAAAGTTAACATTGCTCTAGTTGGAAAGGCAAATTTTGTACTAGAAGACATTTGTCAGAGTTCCCTATTGAGTTTGGACCACAGAGCATAATTTCCATTATACCAAACTTTGGTTTCGACTGAGTCAGCAAAATGTCCTCTAAGTTACCTGGTCTAATTCTTCATAAATACACTTTGTAAGGTTGTGCTCCATGCATCATCCTAACATCGTTTCACCCTGATAACATTCTGTGTGATGCTCCTGTTGGAAAAATCTGCTTTTTAATAACTGATTCAATAAGCTGTTGACAAATGATTTGTATAATATAGTAGGGCCAGCAAGCAAGGTTTGTCTCTGTCGTTACACATCACATTCAATCCGTCCACAAATGTTGCTATGTTCCCCTCATGTTCAAGCTCCTCATGCCATTCTGAATAGCAATGTAAACATCAATACACTGTCTGCTGAAAACAACAGGACATAACAAATGAATTATTTTATTTACAATAAAAGCCCCAGTCCCCAGATGGATTCCACTAATGTTCAAATTCATTTTTCATGCTCAACCCAAGATGAAAGGTAACCACAGCACAATGCAAGAGGAGGGTAGGAGTAGAAATATTAAATATATTGGTTTGAAACTATTTAAGCCATGAACAATAGTGGGGCTGCACTGAGATGGGTGAATAAAACGCTCACCGCATAATTCTGAAGATGCAATCTCCAAAAAGCGCCTGTTCTCTCACCAAGACATTCTGCAAAAACATTTTCCAGTCATAAGAAATTAATGGATTAAAGACATTCTGACATATTCTTCTAGAGTGTTACACTACAGAAGCCAAAGCCTATTGAATTGGCTTTAAACGCTGTTTGCAATGAACAGAAGTGTTTGCTTTCGGTGGGGAGAAGGAAGGACTGAAGTGGCTCTTTTGAGACTGAAGCAGTCTTGCTTCAAATGCTTATCTTCAGCTCCTAATCTGACAGTTCTTTGCCTCCTCTGAAAGCGATAAAAAAAAAAAAGTCAGCGAACAAAGTCATCAGGGGGAAAAAAAAAAAAAGGTTGTAAGGGTGGGGGGAGCAAAATGTTAGAGAGGACAACATTTCAAAGATGACATTTACTAGTTGCTCATGAATGGCACACTCCCCAAAGGTCACCTGAATACAGTTTTGAGAAAGAGTTCATCAAAAAACACAAAATAAAACATTTCTTTTCTCATAAAGATGCCAATAAACTGCCTTCAATACAGAGACTTGTCCTTGTCCATTGAGCAATTAACATGTGGAAGAAATGGAAAAGAATCTTTCCCCATCTGCTATCAATTCTTTCACTGCTTTGACTTAACCCAGTACATTCTCCACACAGAAATGTAAATAAGATTGCAACTCACAAAGCATGGAGAGAAAGTTGGGAAACTACAGCTTAGAAATGATACTGAAAATTGGCATAAAATGGTGACAAGTCGTGGCTCTGTGCATGGGAATACTGAAAAGGCAGGATTTCAGCAGACACTTGCTTGTCTCGTTCCATTAACTGGAACAATCCATATGTTCCTGATGTTTACAGTTTCACTTCAGATTTAGTCAACATAATGCCTATGCATATTGAAAAGAAAGAGATGCATGATACTAATGGAACTTGGAATTAACCCTAAAAAAACATGGAGATTCATGAACAGTTTGTTAGCAAAGGAATAAGAGAGTGATAAGATCAGAGCCATGTTTTGGAATGAGATATATGTTCAAGTGGAGAATCCCAGAGGCAGAGAACGTACAAAATGCAAGATGACCCACAAGATGGGCCTAGGCTAGGGCAGGCAGAATGGATTATTAGAGGAGGGGGCAAATTAAAATCCACTGCAGAGCTCTCACTGTTCATTTTAAGAAATGTTAGTGGGCAGAGCTATCCACGAGCCTCAATTCCCAAATCTCAGGACAAAATAATATAGCTTTCTCCAGGCGAATGAATGCCTTATTAAGATTCTTCTCATAGTTGTAACCTAACAGAGTTTACAAAGGTAAAGTGAAATAAAAAGTTACAAAATCATCATATAAAAAGGATTGTCTGAATGCATTATCCACTGGCCCTGAGACCATTTTAAACACCGTATATATGAAATAGCCTTACAGAGTGTACTGATTAAAAATTGTTCTGATTCTCATTATTCAGATCCTCAGAAAGGGTTGGGTCCTTTTTCCTACCTTCCAACAAACTGAAATTTGTTCATTTTAATAAAATATTTCCTATGGGATTGACATTTACTCAAAGATGTTATCTGACAAAGAATCATTTCAAAAATGGCAATTCCATCTAGAAAAAAAGATAGTCATCACTCACTAATGGTCCTATGTTCAGGATAGACATTTCCCTGGAATCAGACATTTCAATTTCTTTTGAGCACAAACACAAATATGCCACAAATCCTACATATTACCCTTTCAGAGTTGGTTAAAAAGACTATAGCAAATCAAGTTACTTATTATCATGATATGAGGGAAAAAAAATCATGAAGCAAAGTTCATTCCATTATTAACCATGAAAAATAGGTACATCTCTAAAATCACATATTCTTTCAATGTACGGCAATGAGATTTGTTCATCAAATTCACCTTTTAATCCCAATTCCCTTAGTTCTTCACTAGGAATTAATTAAAGCTGGAACATACAGAGAGCTGGCATTTAAACTATATTACACTGACCCTGGATTTACAGACATTCTGTTTAAAAAATGTTCCTCCAAGGAAAAAGGCCACCACAAACTTATAGTAAAACCAAGTAAATTAATAAAATGCTTTTGCTATTCCAAAGCTTCAATAGAAAATATGTCCAACTTAAAAACTGTCATTTTGCAGTCTTATTAAAACATTCTAGTTTCTTCATTAAATTTCCATAACAGACTATTGTTTTCTAATATTGAGTACTCATACTTTAGAATCAGTTTTATTTTTGCAAACATAAAAGAAGATTTTAAAAGGTTCTCAAGAAAATATTCTCATAAAATTATTTATGAGTTTATGGTCATGGTTATTAATTTTATAAACTGAACATTTTATTTTGCTAATTTCTGTTGAGAGATTTTAGGAGTCTCTCATGCAATCACTGTTATCTTTTATAAGTATTTTTCTTATTTGCAGGTTTGTTTTCAAGGTATAATAACTATCTGGACAGGGAGGAAGATTATTCATGAAGTTTTCAAGCACTTTGAAAATTTTCACTGAAAAAAATAGAACTTTCTCAAAAAAAAAATCTTGACATATTTCTAAATTCAGAATTACTGAGGAGTTCATTTCAAAGTGAAATGATGTCTCAGTGTGGAAAATGCTTATTATTTTAAAATATGAAATTTTATATTTTGTTGCTCTCTGCATAGTAAACTAAGTTAGTGGGAAAGAAAAAGATCTGAAGAGTCAGTACAAAATTTATACACAATCATGAGTGATACTTTCAACTACATAAAAATAACCTCCTACAGCATTTCACCCATTCTGGTTACTCACACTACAAAAGAATCAAGCTACTCCTAAAGTTAGTGGAGGTAATACTACAATTCGATGGTCAGAGTACCATCAATGACACAGGACAATAATCTACAAGTTAGACTATTTTCCCAAGAAAAAATATTATTTCAGATCTTAACATGAAAAGATGCACATTTTTCCCGTGGGAGTGTATTTATATGCATTAATTTAATTAAAATCCAGAGCCAGAATAATCTCCAAGAAACAAAGAAACAAAGTCAGTCTCAAATCATCATGCAATACCTTACTTCCACATCACAAAGACTCAGTTTCTAACCTACTGTTAAAATTCACAACAGACAAACTGAAAACAAAGTGCCCATGATACTCATCGGGCCCCTTTTAGAAGCACCTATTTATTTACACAGCTACAGTAGTGAAAAGGTCAAGCAAAAATTCACCTCTAAAGCCATGGTTGCTAAGCAACTCTTTTCAGAAGTTCTGCAACACAAATCAAGCATATTACTGGTGCCACCAACTGGATTCAGAATAAATGTGAATAACATCTTACCTGGTCTCTCCAAAATGGTGGGCAGGATACCTTGCTTACCTTTTCTGGATGCTCAGTTACATATGGAGACTTTTAGTTTTCCTCTCTTAAAAAAAGGATACGTCCTGGTACCACAGGCTTCCTGTTCACGAGGGCAAAGGACAGTTCTGTCTTGAGAAACACCACAGAGGGCTTGATAAGATGTTGGCCAAATCTGAATGACATTTCTTCACAGTTGAAGTCTGAAAGAGAAGACAATTTTAAAATAGGCATTTATAAAATTCTAGTAAGAAACCTCAATTCATATACCACTTTAAGAAAAGCAAATTCAATTACTATTGATTCTTAGGTGCAAACAGGATGCCATTTATAATGGTCCCATTAAATGTCCAATAGTTGTACACATGCAAGCTTCTGCTTGAAAACACTAACCCCAGTCAAGGCAACACATATAGCAACAGTTTCACACATCAGGGGAACTTAACCAGAATACTTTCTAAAAAAAAACAAAAACTCACTGCCATTGAGTCGATTGCAACTTATAGTGACCACCTTTGGGTTTTTGAGGCAGTAAATCTTTACGGAAGTAGATTGCCTAGTCTTCCTTCAATGGAGTGGCTTGTGGGTTTGAACTGCCAACTAAAGGGGGTTGCTATGAGTCAGAATGACTAGATGGCAGTGAGTTTAGCTTCTATATATGTACACGTACTCCTAGGGAACTATTATAGCAAAAACTCCAAAATCAAAGAGAAAATATATGATAAAAAGAAGAGAGGGACAAATACAGTTCAAGACAAGAATAAGACACGTTTGACACAGAGTTAGAATGCAGCATGGTATGCCAAGTGCTACCCATAATCCTTACTGGGAAAGTCAGAGAGGGCTGAAGCCAGATGTGTGTGGCACATGGCATCTAGGGTGAGCCAAATCTATTCAATATCCAGACCACAAGGAATAATTATCCCTCAGTCACATGCCTATATATGACAGTTCTTTTCTGAAAGACTGAGACTCACCCTCTCTGGGTAAATTTTTCTCTGATTCAGGAACAACCTTATCACAGAACTGATGAAAATGGAACAATCCATGGAAAAACAGAATTACAAAAAGGACAAAGTCAGAAAATGATGGGCTATTTGATAAAGGAAAAATTCACCTCCAAAGCCTGCACTATCATTTAATGACTCTAATGTTCTCCATGGCACATACACACACACAATCACAGAGGACTACACAAACATCATCTATTACAGAAATAACACAAGCCAGGTCTTGACACATAGCAGGTACTAAAGAAATAAGATGGAAAGTTTGCCTTAATGACATTCATACTGGTTTTTAAGAACATTCACAATGATCTCATAAAAGTACAGGGTTAAAATAAAGATGTCAAAAATCATCTAGCACATTGGTTCTCCCTGTGCGATGTTGTTTCCTGGATCAGCAATATCAGCATCACTTGGGAACCTGCTAGAAACGCAAATTCTCAGATCCCACCCCGGACCTACTGAACCAAAAACTCTGGGAGAAAGGCTCAGCAATCTGCACCATAAAAAGCTGTCCAGGGGACTTATAACTTGATTCTTCTCCCAATCCTTTGGCCCTTCCCTACAGAAGCCCTGCCAGGGCTGGCTAGCCTATGCTTGAGCACACCCAGAAATGGAAGACTACAACATCGATCCATTCCTCCTGAGAGAGACAACTTCATTAATTACAGTTTCTCTTCATACCAAGTCCATCTGTTTGCTGTGGATTTATTCCTTAGGGTTACATGAAAGTGTCAGATAAGTGGCAATGCTTCAGATATTTGGAGGTAATCATTTCTTCTTCTCCCAGTTTTTATTTATTTATCTATTTATTTAATAAACAGCATTAATTCAAGTCACCAGTAGCTATCTGTGGTTTTTGTTCCCCAACATGCATTCCTTGTAATTCTGGACATAACATTTCCATTTTTCTTTGGGTAATTACTCCACCATATGCTATACGGGGGCTATTCCTACTGCCTGGTTCTAGGGATGGGCAAGTGATACCCAAAATCTATTGAGATTGATTCAGGAGTAGGAACTGGACACAACATGAGGCAATCAGTCAAAGGCAAGGATATTGGTCAGAAAATTACTGTTAGCCCTGTAGTGGTAAAAGAAATTCTGATGCCACTGTGGTTAAAGCACTGGGCTGTTAACAAAAAGGTCAGTGGCTCGAACCCACCAGCTGCTCCATGGGAGAAAGAAGAGGCAGTCTGTTTGTGAAAAGATTTATAGCTTAGAAACTCTATGGGGCAGTCTACTCTGTTGTATAGGGTCGCTATGAGTTGGAATCAAATTGATGGCAATGGTCTTGGTTTTGGTTTTTGATGGGGGTAAAGGCTCTTTATTTCTGGTAAAGTTTCCAAGCTGGTAGGACAAGAACCTAAAATAGCTGCAAGTTACACTAAAAAAAAGTCTGCATTATGGAAGAGCCAACAATGAAGCAAGCACAGCAAAACACAGAGATGCATCCCTGATAACATTGTTTGAGCCCCTGGATCTCACAATGCGAGAAGGAGTGATATGTCTGGAGTTTATTTCTCCTAAGAATAAATGTGTAAAACTGACTGAAACATAGGCTCTAGTTCATGGGCTTTTATTATCAATGTCCACGAAGGTTCTTCTTTTGGTTTTCAGTGTTCATCTTTTTCATATGATTTCCCCTTTACATCCAATGTTCAATTCCATTTCTTAGCACTTTTTCATAATTAATGTAGTGTTTTTAATCCTCTGGACATGTTTCTTTACCTCAAATTTTATATGTAAAAATCATGTAGAGCTCTTATACATGTTCCTCAACTTTTATATAAATCATATTATACTTTAAATCTCATTCTGCCTTTTTCTCTAAACACTGTTTTATAGATTCATCCATGTTGCTATAAATAGATCTAGTTTACTACTTCTCATTGCTTATTCTTTCTTACTGCATTCCATTATGATATTTCTCATCCACTCCTCTAGTGTCTAAGAAGTAGCTTGACTCCAGTCTTTTACCACAAAGAGCACTCCAGTAAAATCATCCTTGAATATATTTCTCTGGGTCTTTTTCCTGGGTATCTGTGCTACAGTTCTATTACTGTGTTTCAGGTTATGTTGTTGAGTTGGCTCTGACTCACGGATACAGAGTGAAACATTGACCAGTCCAGTCCATCTTCACAATCACTGGTGTGCTTGAGTCCACTGTTGTAGGAAATGTATATTTTGAGTACCTTCCAACTTAGGGGGCTCACTTTCCAGCATTATATTGGACAATATTCTGTGATCTATAGGGTTTTCACTGGCTAATATTTTAAAATAAATATCCAGGCCTTTCTTCCCAGTTTATCTTAGTCTGGACACTCTGCTGAAATCTGTCCACCGTGGGTGACCCTGCCAGTAATACTGGTACATATCTCCCAGTATCCTAGCAACATGTAAGCCACCACAATACAAAAAACAGACAGATGTGCGGTGGTTATACACATAGTGTATTTTTTCTAAAACATATGTACCAGTTTACATTTCCAGTAGCAATATGTGAGGACTTCTATTTTCCCACATCCTTGCCAACACTTGGTATTATCTTATTTCTTAATTTTTATTGATAACGGCTAGGATAAAAATTTTTATCTTAATTTTAATTTGCTTCTAATAGTCTGTGCATGCTTTTCCTTCTATGAATTGTCAATTCACATTATTTGTCCTCTTGGTTCTCTTCCTTTTATATTCTCATTTTACATAACCTCTTACATATTCTAAATACTGATCTTGGTCAATTAAGCATTACAATGACATTTCACCATCTGTTAAGGTTTCTACTGTGTTCTCCACTGAACAAAACTCATTCATTTCAATATATTCAAATTCATGATTTTTTATGCTTTCTTGCTCTCTGCCCCCAATGTAACATATCCTGTCTACTACAAAGTCACAAAATAAATCCTTGTATTAGCTTTATATTTTTATCCTTAAGGGTTGGGTATTTAATTAACCTGGAGATTTGTTTATTGTATGAAGTACAGAAACAGTCTCCTTTTCCCCCATTTGTGAGCTAATTTTCCCATAACCATTTGCCGGAAATGACTACACCAAGTTCCCCTATGCACACAGGAAAGAGTGTGAAATCTAGTCTGTTCTGCTTTGATTCTATGCCAGATGCTGTAGAACAGAGGTTAACAAACTTTTCCTAGAAAGGACCAGATCCAGTGGGCCACACAATCTCTGTACCAATTATCATCATATTCTGCTCTATATCAATTGCTCAACACTTCCATGGCAGCGTGAAAGTAGCCACAGACAATCCCTAAATGAATGGGTGTGTCTATGTACCAATAAAATTTCATTTATAAGAAAAAGGATACAGCTTGGATTTGGCTTGCAGGCCGTAGTTTGCCAACTTCTGATGTTGAATGTTAACGCCTTATAGAACGAAATACCCTCTTCTTCTTTATTTATTCTCCCACTTAGATTTTACCCAACTCTGTCCCTTCAAAAAAGCTCTTGCTCAGATATTGATTGAAATTACACTGAATATAAATTTTAATTGGGGAAATTTGACAACTTCACTATATTCAATCAAGTCATTTATGAATCACGTTTATGCTGTATAATAAAACTCCTGCAATAGATTTAAATTTCCCTTATATGTTTTATGTATTCTTTCTTAGATTTATTCCTAGGTAGGTTTTAGTTTATATCACTATTATAAATGGTATCTTATTATCATTGTAGTTCGTGATTGGTTGCTCCCAATACAGAGGGAAGCTATGAATTTTTATATGTTGCTCTTATAGCTGGGAACCTGGCTGAATTCTTGTATTTCTATTAATAGTTTGTGCTGATCCTCTCAGATATTCTATATAAATGTGTTTTCTTATGAATATGACAATTTTATCTTTCATTTCTTACATATGTGTGTTTGTCATACTGCATTGGTCAGGTATCTGGTAAAATGTTAAGAAGTAGAAATAACACAGGCATCCTTTATTGTTCTCAACCTTAAAAGGAATGAGTTTAAAGGTTATTATTATTATTATTATTATTATTATAAATGATATCTGGTGTAGGTTTTTTAGTAGAAAGTCTTTTTCAAGTTTTAAAAAAATGAAAAAAAACTTCTATTCCTTGTTTGCTAAGGGTAGATTCAATTAAAAAGAAAAAAAAAGACTTAATTTTTAAGTGCTTTTTCTGTAACACTGACCACAAAATTTCTTGTCCTTTGTCATTA